AAACGTAAAGTAAACTAAACTTAAACTAAACTTAAACTTAAACTTTTTAACTTTACTAAACTAACTAATATAGTTAGTNTACCTACTCTCTCTCTCTCTCTCTCTCTCTCTCTCAATTGGCTTTATTGATAAGATTTGGTTAGATGTGCATGTAAGACTCTCACTCTCTGGTTTTGTTCGATGTGCATGTAAGACGGAGATTATCTCTCTCTAAATTGGCTTTTTTGATATTGGTTTTGATAGATATACCTGTAAGACAAAGACTCTCTCTCTCTCTCTCTCTCTCACTCTTTCAATCGGATTTTTCTTACATGATTTTTGTTTGATATACATGTAAGACAAATAGTCTCTCTCTCTCTCTCTAAAATTGGCTTTTTTTCTCTCTCTCTAGAATGGTTTGGCTTTTTTGCTCTCTCTCTCTAGAATGGTTTGTTTGAGGGTGAGATGTACCTGTAAGACAAAGAATGCAGCCCAAGCAAGGCAAGCAAAGATGAGAAGAATGGAGCCTTTAAGCCAATCCTTGTCAGTTGAGGTGGGGGTGGAGTTTCCATAGCCTTGATGAGCAGATGAGTGCTTAGACCAGAGCATCTCAACTATGGGACCTTTGTAGAGGGTCATTAGCATTGCACCAGCCACTGTTACAAGTGTTCCCACCACCTTTGCCTGACTCCTCACCTTCTTAAGATTCACCTTCTCCATTCTGTGTTCATTTTTACAAACACCCCATCAACAAGTTAGAGAGAGAGAGATAGAGTTCACTGAAATTAGTGTGTATGGTTGAATTTGATATCATGTTTGAGAGAGAGAGAGAGTTCATACACTGAAATTAGTGTATTGTGTTTGAATTTACTTTGTATGTTTGAGAGAGAGAGAGAGAGAGAGAGAGAGAGAGATTATTTTGTTATTCACCTGCAAAGAAAAGCCATGACAAATGTCATGGCAGGGAGGATGTTGCTCATGGCGCATGAGAAAGTTGGGGAGGTGTATTTCAGTCCGGCATAGTAAAAGTTTTGATCGATCACAGGCCTGAAAAGTATATATAATATGTTTATTTTATCAGTTTCAAAAGAAAAGTATATATAAAAGTTTTTTCATATAACATAGCAATATATAACACCAAAGTAACTAATTATTTAATATTTTAACATTCCATACTTAGTACAAGTATATTTATTTATTTTCTATGAAAAGTGACTCACCCTAGAAGGCCCAACACGAACATCTGCATGAATATTGGAAATGTGATCTTGGGCCTCACTTTTCTGTGTAGAAAGAGAGACTATTTTGTTAGTCCAATCAAGAGAGAGAAAAAGAGCATTTTGTTCGAGAGAGAGAGAGAGAGAGCATTTTGTAAGTAAAAAACTTGCCATGAGAGTAATGGAGATCATTTTGCTTGTCAAAACCTTGCCATGAGAGAGAGAGAGAGAGAGAAATGAAGCATTTTGCTAGAGAGAGAGAGAGAGGAGAGAGTTTGCTTGTAAAAAAATTGCTATGAGAGAGAATTTTGAAAATTAATATCTTGCCATACGTGTGTGTGAAAGAGAATGAGATTTAGAGAGAGAGAGCTTGTGTGTGTGAGAGAGAATGAGATTTAGAGAGAGAGAGCTTGTGTGTGTGAGAGAGAATGAGATTTAGAGAGAGAGAGCTTGTGTGTGAGAGAGAATGAGATTTAGAGAGAGAGAGCTTGCTAGTCAAAAGCTTGCCAAGAGAGAGAGAGAGAGAGATTGCTAGTCAAAAGCTTGCCAAGAGAGAGAATTTTGTTAGTAAATAACTTGCATGTGTGTGTGAGAGATATAGATTTAGAGAGAGAGAGAGAGTTATAGAGAAGAGAGAGGGAGAGAGATTTTTCTCTCACCTCTCCAAAATGATGGCAAAGGGAGCGATGGCCCCAGTGGCAAAGGCATGGCGATAGACCACAAGCACATAGTGGCTCATCCCTCTATTAAGAGAGACCTTAGTGATAATATTCATACCAGCATAGCCAAATTGAAGTGACATCATGGCTATGTAAGGCTTGGACCTGTTGAGAACATTAGTGATGTGTCCCATCTTCTCCATTTTCCGACCAAAACTCGCCGAGACTCGCTGGAAGTTGGCCGGAAACTAGGAGCTCAGACACTTTCTCTCTCTAGGAATGGAAGAAACTCTCTCTAGGTTTGGTTTCTCCTGAGGCAAATGGGGGGAAGACATGGGTATTTATACCCAATTTGAGTGGGAATTTAGGCCCTATCCATAATAATTTTTGGGGACATAACATATTTATCCAAATTGGGTAGAATGTGGGCGTAGTGTCCACTCAGTGAATTAGGAGGGGGTCCTTGGAGACTCTTTAAGGGTTTTGTGTGTTTTTTGAATCTGATTGAATATTCTTGTGGGGTTGTGAGGTCAATTTTGTCCAATAGGGAGGGGGTTTAGTGGTAGGGCCCACATGAGTAGGATAGTGGTGATTTTTGAGGCATTGAGAAGGATTTCTAGAGAGAGAATCTGTGCATGATGATGTAGAGAGAGAGAGGCATGTATTACTTTTGGGATAGGTAGAAGTGTATGTGTTCCCATTACCAAGGAGTATGTAGAGAGAGAGAGATATATATGTCACTTGTGGGGTAGGCAGCATTGTATGTGTTTCCATTAAGTAAGAGAGAGAAAGGAGAGAGAGAGTTGTGTGTTTCCATTAAGCAAGAGAGAGAGAGGAGAGAGAGAGTTGTGTGTTTCCATTAAGTAAGTAAGAGAGAGAAAGGAGAGAGAGAGAGTTGTGTGTTTCTATTAAGCAAGAGAGAGAGGAGAGAGAGAAGAGAGAGAGGAGAGAGAGAGAAGAGAGAGGGAAGAGAGAGAGAGAGTTGTGTGATGGGGAGCATAGCACGTATACCAAACACTTAATGATTCCTTTGCACCACTATTCAAATTGATGGTTTCTCAGATATGCGTATCAAAATATTTAGAGAGAGACTATTTGTAAAAAAAAAAATTGAGAGAGAGAGAGATTTAAGTACTTAGTAGAGTGGCTTAATGGGAGTCCTTTGCTGGCTATGCACATATAAATATAATAGTAAATAATCGTATCATAGTAATTATTGTATTTAGAGATATTATCTCAGTTTGTATTTTTACATTGAAAGAATATTAGATGTTATTTTAAAATAATATAGGTTAAAAAATATTAGCTTTTAAAAAGAAGGGAGTTTTTAATCCCACTAAGTAATGTAGAAGAGAAAGCCAAGTTTAAATATGAGAACTTTCTCTTCCTCTTTTTTTTTTTTTTGAACATTAATATCCTCTTCTATTGCATTTTTTGAACCAAGTGGATAGAAGACTCATGTGGAGCATGAGAAGCATGCGACATGTCTATAATTGAGGCGTACTTTGCACTTTGCAAGCATCTTTACATAGTACAAGGCCTATTTGCACAGGTACGAGCTAGATACAACTCTTTTTTCTTTTTTTTCTTTTTTCTTTTTTTTTTCTTTTTTTCTTTTTTCTTTTTTTTCTTCGCGGGTCAAGTGCGTTCATTGTTCGATAACATGTACAAAAACATTGCAACCACGCATTCCTTGCATCTCGATGTTACATATAGGCTGATGTGTGTGTCATGAAGTTGCAGAAGTCTTTATCTTTTTGGATAATTCAATAGGGAAGACAGTCCCCTACCCGTTTTTTCAAGTAGGTTTGGAATTAGCTTTTTGAAAGTATTAGTGAGGTGGTGGTAGTGGAATAAAAAACTAGAACGTAGTGGTTAGGGTGTTGGTGCTACCACCACGACTTGAGCCCCTTTCCTGGTTACGGAAGTTCATGATGGTTATTTTCGAATCATTCTCACTGTTGCCAAACTAGTTACATAAATGGTTTTAATTGATGAACAGTTTGTGATTGTTAAACAATCAAGTAATGTTATACTGCAAAACTATACAATTTGAATAACTTGAAGATATTGAACAATCACAACCCATAACTTGAAAAATACTTTCTCTTTTCATAAATTGGATTTTAACTTTTTGAATACAATTAGTTTTTACAGCCTATTACTGTCTTTCTAGCTTGATTTCTCTATGTAATATAAAAGCAACTCTAGTGCATTTTGATATTGTTGTTCATGTTAATTGAACAGACAAGTGTTTGAACTTTTATTTTCAAGTTTTCAAAGACGAATTTACTTAGAAAATCTTATATACACTTATTGTTCTCAGTAAAGAGCAAATATTATCTCAAAATAACCATAGACATGGTCAGAAGATTTCTGCTCAGACAACCTAATTTTTTCATTTCCCATAGTTTCGACTTTACAATATCCTCAGCACTTTCATATTGGCTTCTTTTATGATAGGACGGGAGAAGGAATGTCATTTTAGAGAGAGAAAGAGGGCCATTTTAGAGAGAGAAAGAGGGAGTTGGATACTTCAAGCATAAGGAAAAGGAGGGTGTTTTGCATGAGCGTGATGACGTATGTATTCCTTTCTTTGCATTGGGATCTCTTTCCGACCCTAAAATAAGCTAGAAGAGAAAAAGCCTTATAATATAACCAGTACATTGAATGAATGAATTTATGGAATCACATGTGGAGTGTGAAGTAAGACTACTTATTTAAACATTTCTAAAGAATATGCACTGATGCATGTCAACAAAATCTTAGCCTTTTTAAAGAAGGAATATATGATCCCAAAATCAAACCCATGAGAGAGAAGAGTAATTTAGCTCACTTTTAAGTACTATATATATATATATATATATATATATATATATAAGGTAATACAGTGGGAATACAGGCCCCTTTCGTTTTTTTTTAAAATGGTTAGGTTTTTTATTCTATCAGTGAGATTGAAAAGCATGACGTGCGACTAAGATATGAGACGTGCTACCACCACAACCCCAACCCCTTTCCCCAATTTTATTGTTGAGGAAGAAGAAATGGGTGATCTAGTGAATGGTTTAAGAAAGTTTGTAAACAAAAGGAAGTCTAGTTTGAGTGTGGTTTTCAGATACTGCACATATAGTTCTAGAAACCATCAATTTGGAATGGGAGTCGTCGATTTTATTTTATTTTTTATGGTTATATGATATTTTCTTAGGTTCTACATCCCAACTTGACCTCCGTACAAACGAAAAAGAAAAAAGGAAAGCACAAAAAAAAAAAAAAAACCACCAAAACAAAAAATAATAATAATAAAGAAAAAAAAGAGGAAAGAAAACCAATTAATAAACCACTGTGTTTATTTTTCTTTGTTATTTTTAATATTTTCATATCCTTGATCCAGATAGGCAATTAGATGATCAGACATGGATCTATAGGGTGGATGATCCACCCCAATGATCTAGGTTTTGAAACACCTGTATACATAAATTAAATATTCTGACAAAAGAAATTTATTGGGATGTCGATAAGCTTTATTAGTGTACAATAACATCTTTTGATTGTCATTAATTTAATAACTACCTTTAGATCTAAATTTCGGGGAAAGAAGATGACAACTTTTAGATTGTTTCCTCTCTCTCCTCACGAATTAGATTCCTAGTACATAAAAAAATAAAAATGTATCTTCCTCTCTCCTAGCAGCCTAGGAATCTCTCCTTATAGTAATACTTCCTTGAACGCACGGGATTATGATAATTTTTCAAAGTTCTGTAATTTTTATTGCTGAAAAAACAAGGAATGTACCTTCTTTTTCTAGATTTTAATGAAAATCTTCATTTTTTTATTTTTTTTTACCAACTTAAAATAATGATGTAAAAATAGGAAATTTTATTAAAATATCTTAATGGACAAAGTATTTAACGTTTTACTCAATTGCAACTATTCTGACCATGCATCTTTTGTGGGGTGTTTTGAAATGAAATCAAAAGATATGGGTAGAGTGTTAAATAGTTAATCTCTTGTTGTTATTTGGATGAATTTCTTATAAAAATACAGTATAAGTGTAAATTAGAGTTTTAGAAATACCTTGTTTTTTAAGGTAAATTCCATTCCCTCGCACCTGCCGAGTATCACATTCAATTCACACTGTGAGGGGAACCCAGCCTCGTGATAGCCGGGCAGTTGTTTGGTGCGCATAGCTATTAATGGCTAAAGCGACCCTCTGTAATTTTGGTATGCCTACTTTTTTTTGAAGCATTTTCAGTAGTTTTGGTAGATGGAGATGAAATTAAATTGAGTTCTTTATTGAGCCCGCGGGTGTGGCTTTTGGGAATCGTCATGGAATAGTAAAAAAAAGTATTCACGATCGGGCAAAAGAGATTTTTCCTTTTAAATCCCGATTCTAAGACTAGCGATTCTTAGTCTCCTTCAACATCCCCTATTCTGTCTTTATTTTATATTTTATGCAGTCCTATCCTTCCTTGGGGCAAATTTATTAACTAGTGATTTGAACTATTTAACATTTTAGACATAATTTACACCTTAGATAGAATATTGAATAGCTCAAATGTAGGGCTGGCAACAGGCCAGCCCAAGCCCGCCCGAATCCCTACCAGGCCGTGGCCTTGGCCTTGGCCAGGCCCTACCCTACCCTTAGTGGCCTAGCCCTGGATTGGCCCTCGGGCCACATCTTGTAGCTCAAGCCCTAGTTTTTTAGGGCCAGGCCAGTCAGAGTTGCTCGGTCTGTTTTCAGTCCTACGCAAATGTTAGGTGTATATTTATAAATTTCATAATTTTATTGTCAATAATAATTAGAAATACGCCCCTTTTAAAATTTTAAATTATGATAAGTTATTTTCAAAATAAATCTGATGTCAAAAGAGGTTTTAAAAAGATACATAATTTGGTTTCAAAAATTAAAATTTTGGTAGTTTTATAGCAAATCAATTGTTCTAAATATTCAAGATTAGTATAAAAATCAACCACTATAACCCTTAATAAAAAAAACAAAATTCCTATTATATTTTTTATGGGAAATCAATTGGTTTTCTGCATGGCATCTTAAAGAAACCCCATGGTTTGCAAAATCTAAGTCTTGTATAGGGAAGGGGGTAGGTCGTGGTAGTAGTATGTGGTAGTAGTACACTATACCTAGTTACAACGTTGTGGTTTTCAATCCTACTAATGTCACCCACTAGCACTTTCAAAAAAACGCTAATTCCCATAGGAGTCTGTCTTTCCCACTAGTGCTAAATTGGTGCTAAAATCTATATAAATTGGAAATTTTATCACAACATAGCTCAGTCATCAACTATTTATCGTTTTACCTATTTTCAACTATT